AAAAAAAAAAAAAAAAGTACCGCTGAACAGCTGATGAGCTTTCTATTATTCCATTTCTGGCTTGTTCTCTGCAGGGGGCTGTGTCAGAGCATGACAGTGCAGATGGTGTTGGCTGGGTATATGTTACTCTCAAGGCACTTTGTCCTTTGGAAGTGTACATGCACCGTGGGGGCATGGGATCTCTTTCTTTCTGTGCTGGGTTTGTTTCCTTCCAGCTTAGAAGTTAAACAACTTTAAACATTTTTAAATACCATTCATTGCCTTTTTACTGTTATTCTACTGGATAATTGAGAATGGCTTTGTTTAAAAATGCACCACTGTGTCCCTAGGTTCTTTTGGCACTGTCTACTCCCCTGGCTCCACCACCTTCACTGCATAATTTAACAAGATATTCATCCTGCTCTCTTAATCTGATGAGGCCCCTTCACTGCTCTGCCTAAGACTGTCAAGTCTTGTTGAAGAGAGAAGATGGTGCAAGACAGTCAATGTTAGAGGCAAAAGGGAAAGCAACTTGCCTTAGGTCACAGAGAAAATCTATGGCAGAGGCAAAAGGCCCCAGAGCTTCCAACCTCCCTGTTTCAACAGGCCACATTTTTGCATTTCAACAGTCTTCTGCAAAGCCAACCCACAGCCCTAGTATCGTTTGGCCCTGGGCAGGATGGAGGGCTCTTACCAAAATCGGAGCAAAACCAAACACAGCTCAAGTGTACAATCAGTTTGGTCTGTGCCAAAATATCCCGAAGGGTGGCAGAAGTCAGCAATGCCTGTAGTGCCATGAAATACTGAGTTAAAAGCAAGTCTGCAAGGGCTCTGCAGAAAGGTGTGTGACACTAACCGCACTTCTGGCAGGCGCGTGAGATAAGATCGGTGCTCCTGCAGTACTGGAAGAGAATACATTGTGCATAAGCACCCACTGCTCACACCTCCTGCTCTCAGCTGGAGTGACACCCACCACTGCTTCAGATCTTCTGAGGGAACCTTAACTTTCCAAAGCTTGGAAATCCAGGTAGAAATGCATCTTACTGAGCCCAGGTCTGCCATCTCAGCCCCAGATGGGTGTATTCTCCTCTGGGCTTAATCTGAAACAGGATGGCAGTTCCCACAGCAGTTGTTCAGAACACCTTTCAGGTCCTATCATCATTTACAAGTTGCCAATGCAGCCAGTGAAACCAGTGCACGGATACAGCAGCACCAGGAGCTCATTTTGGAGGAGGCAGGCAGATGCTCACTCTCTCATTAGCTGGCAAACTGTGCACTCTCCCAAACAGCAGCCATCTTGAAAGGACTCACACAATGGCTCCTCAGAATTAAATCACAGGGTTCACTTTTCTCAAACTTGCAAAACATTTTCGGTACAGAGAAAGAAACCTTATGGTTACTTTGGGTACAACCACTGTATAACATGGATTGCTCTACAGTGTAATCCTGACTCCTACCTCGCTGTCCGCCTGGAAGCAGGCACCTAACCGCTGCCATGGAGCCAGTACTGAGGCTGTGGAGCCTGGCGCAGCTGTCTGCACCCTGCACACCACCTGCACTGGCCCTGTCCCTTCCCGCCACTCCAGGGCTGCAGAGTCCAGTGCAGCTGTTTGCAGCCTCCTGGCTGCCAGCCACAGCTGGCCCAGGCATTGTGCAGCTGCAGCAGGTGACGGGCAGGCTGCAAACAGCTGCACTGAGGTCTGGAGCCCTGACACTGGCTCCACAGCAGAGGGAGGTGCATGTGCATCTTGCAGCGCACAGTGGGGAAGGAGCCAGGGAAGTGCAACCCCAGACCCTCCCCGACTGTCCACATAGAGACTTGCATGCAGGTGCCAGCAATAAGGATCGGGCCCCTCACAGCTCTCCTGCCATTGGCACGCCAAGTTGTGGCATGGGTGGAGGTTAGGGTGGCCATCACAGAGGACAGTCTCGTTGTCCTCTGTCCTCTATTGCTACGAAACCAAACGCCTTTATGTCCTCTATTGAAGAGAAAAGTAGAGGACATAAAGGCGGCTTACGTATCAATAGAGGATAGAGTAACAGAAAACTGGACTGTCCTCTATGATGGCCACCCTAGTGGAGGTTGGGGTGTTTTGGCACTCTGGCCAAAAAGATTGCCAACTCCTCCTATAGAGGGTAAAATACCTTTCCCTTTTAAAGTAACAGGTTGGAGGGAGAAATGAGGGAAGAGGAGAAAAGCCCAAGACTGAGAAACATTGTAGGATGGGAAGGCTGGAAATTTTTAGTTTCCACTGGGCTTAGATCTTTTGGCAAGCTTGGCCCAAGCCTTTTTTACTGATTTGGCCTCACATAAAAGGCAAAGACCCGTTTTGTTCTTCTAGGAAACCTACTGCAACCACGCGAACACCCTCCAAATTTCCGGCCAGTAGGACAGCTCCGTGTCACAGCTAACTGTGGCCATCGGCACCTGGCAGCCGTTAAACCTTGTCGTACTTCCTGTCAGAAGAAAAGCTTTTGAAAGAGGAAAAGGCTGTTGAAAGCAGTCAGTCTCATTTCCCTCGCAGGCCCAGCCCAGATACCAGCCAGACAAAAAAGCACCTGTTTTCCAGCACTGTTTTAGGCACTCAGCAGTTCTGCAGGGACATCAATAATTCTCAGACTATGGAATCTGAGATCGTTTGCAATCCCCATCTAGTTATTCACTGGCTAAAATTACCACTCTAACGCAACAGATGTGTTTCCTAGCCATCTACACAGCCAAGAGCTACGAAATTATTTCACCCCCACTTTGGGACAAGGAGGTGGAGGGAAAGGAGAGAGTGGATAATCTTGTTAATCTCAAGGCTCTAAAAAGAAAGACTTTGTAGGACTTGATAGAATAGTGGCACAAATAGCTATGGCCAGTGGTACACACTTCTGGTATTACCTCATTCATCTGCATGATACTCAACTGAAAAAGCTTCATAATGCAGCAGTGTTTTTTGCCCCCAAGATCATAAACTGCATGCACTCCTAATTTAACTGTTGAGGACAACTGTTCTTCAGTTTGTTCCTCAAAGACCATCTCGGCTATGCTACCTATTGGCTAAGTAAGGGTGACTACGTTGAGGGGCAAAAGCCAATATTTAATTAT